TTCAAGACCAGACTCAGATAATAAGATTAAATTATTACAAAATAAATCATTTACTTTACTCCATATTAATAGAGTTTCAGAATATCAATACTAACACTATCTCTAACAAAATAATGGCTGAAAACAGTTTAAAAATTACTTTTGCATATGATTTCCCCATGCTCCCCCATCTTTTAAATTATTGTGTGCATGGACATTGTAAGAGCAGATTGCCATGATTAACATTAATTTGGTCTTAACTATACAAGTAACTATACATAAGGACTCACCATGAGTCGTTATAACAATGTATCTCTAGTTATTTTGGCTGCTATTCCTCATAGGAATCCTCAAGGAGGAATCATAAGAACACAACCTTTGTGTCCCTGCATGTTGACAACAATTTGTCTGAGCTCTTTATACCTAAAATTTAGTGTGTCTGGGCTTAAAAAATCTCTGGCTCACATTTTCATTACATGAGTATCTAAAAGACACTATCCCATTGACTGCTGGCATATACTGTTGCTGTCAAGAAGCCCAGTGATAATCTGATTTTCTTTATTCCATAAATCATTTGCTATTTTGGTCTGAAGGTCCAAATTGTTTTCAAGTACAGTAATGTAATTAGGATGTCTCAGTCATTCAGGGTCAACATGCTCAGGTACACAGTGTGTTCATTCAATAGTTTCAAGATTTTTAAAAATTATTATTTAAGAAATTTTTCTTGAATTATAGTTTTTAACATGTTGTGATTGCATTGTTTTGGTTTCCTTCTTTGGTGTCTCATAGCAGATGATATGTATGTATGTATGTATGATCTATATGTATATATGTGAGATCTTCTTTGCCTGTTTTCTAAATGTGTCACTTTCTCTTTACTCGTTTTTCTCCTCTTAAATCTTTTTTCCCCTTTCTTTTCATTTTCTGTTTTCTTAAAGTATCTGAAGGCATGATTCACTCAATGGAGACTACATTGCTGGAAAAAAAAATTTCTTATAATTCTAATTCTTTCCAGAGTTCTATCCATCTCATACCTAAGTTTTTCTAATTCAGTTTTATGTCATTCTTTTGTACTTGTGTCATTTCTTAATGTCTTTTAGCTCATTTTTAAATACTTTAATATTTTCATCAGCTTTGAGCATATTCTTCCATCTCATTCTCTCATTCTGCTTTCATGGTTTGTAGGTTATTTTGCTTCCTATGTTTTCATTACAATAACTTAATATGGGATTTGAGCTTGATCCTTTTCTGTTGATCATCTTTATATGAAATTAGTTCACTTGATTTTTTTTTTTTTAATAGGAATCTCACTCTGTCGCCCAGGCTGGAATGTAGTGGCACACTCAAGGCCACCGCAGCCTCGGCCCACTGGGCTCAGGTAATTCTTCCACCTCAGCTTTCCAAGTAAGATGGAACCACAGGTGCATGCCACCACACCCAGCTAATTTTTTGATTTATTGTAGCGATGAGGTCTTGCTAAGTTCCCCAGGCTGGTTCTGAACCCCTAGACTCAGGCAATCCTCTCACCTCGGCCTTTCAAAGTGCTGGGATTACAGGCATGAGCCACACACCCGATTTACTTGAACTTTTAGGAGACATGATTTGGAACAGCTCTTCTAACTAACTGTGATAAATCTACACTTTGTATTCTGTGTTTTGTGGTAATGCTCAAGAACTTGAGAGCACATTTTCTAGATGACTTAGCTCTGTTCTCCTCTTCAATTTCAACTAGACCTTTTCTTTCCTTGGCTCTACTATCTCACATCTATTCCTAGTAGCTCCTCAACTGAGTCTTTGTTCCACATTTCAGCTGTTGTTCTCATTGTGGCCCACTAAACTGTCCAATGAGTACCTATTGGCTATTGGGTCTGTCAGTTAAATGTTTCCTGTTTCTTCTTGCACAGATGTTGAAATCACATACTTATCAGTGGTTTGGGGTCCATGGGGATATTCTGATACCTAGTTTTGCTGTATATTTCACCTATGGATATTTGGTTTACCTATCTGGGTTGTTCAGTCTATTTTATTGGGTAATTCAGAGATATCCAAAACATATGACAGTTTGCCATGATCTCCCAAGACTTCTAATCTTAAACATAAAATCCAGTAAATAAGAGATTTCCAGGTATTGTAAGCATCATAGGAAAAGAATACACTGTTTTTTAGATGAAAAGTTGGTTTATCTTACCTTAGGCTGGATGTGTGAGGAGGAGAAAGTGATGTCTCCCAAGAATTTGAAGAAAAAAAATACTTTTCTAAATAATTTTCTAAAATTCATTTAGAAATCAAAAAAGACAACAAAGCAGTGCTCTACAAAGTCATCATTCCTATTTTTTATTTTGAAAAATATTAAACCTACAGAAAAGTAACAAAAATAGAGATGAACACCCATATCCCTTTATCTAAAGCCACTAATTTTTTCATAATTTGACACATTTACTTTATTTATCTCTAATTCACATAGTATTGCTTTCCTGAACCATATCAAAGTAAGTACAGAAATAATTATCTTTCACTCTTAGATACTTCTGCATATATTTCCTAAGAGTAAGAAAAATCTGCTACAATTTCATTACCACACTTGATCCACTGATACAATAATATTATAAGGTATAATACATATTCAGTTTCCCCAATTGTCCCAAAAATGTCTTCTAATTTTTAAATCCAGGATACAACTAAGGATCATGCATAGCATTTGACTGTTACATCTCCTCTAATCTAGAACATTCTTCCCACCTGCTCTTATAAAATGGGAATTATTTACTTTATAGAGTTTTTAGAAAGCTTAAATAAAATAATGCAAATGAAGTAGATAATCTAGTCTTTATGCACAATATCTGACAATGCTCAGTAAATTTTAATTCTCTTCCATCTGTCTACAGTCCACACTGAGTCCAGTATCCTGGTCTGTGTGACAGTATATTTGTTGCTATAAATTTAAGAAATGGCATCTAATTTCAGTAGCCATAATTAAAGTGAGTCCAAGCCTGAAAATCAAATTGGGTCCACATGTGGTCCCCAGTTAGATGTCTCGGAAACTGTCAGACTGTGAACCACATGGGAGCCAGTTCCCAGAAGCCACAGCTGAGTCTCTACCACTGAGGTTACAGCTGTCTCCAAAGAAGAGCTCAGTGACAGTCTCATGATTCCTCAGACTAAACTACACATAATAAAGCACCAGTCATGGACCAAATTATGGGAGGGTTCTTCATGTCTACCTTTTACTTCCATAAACTTGAACTGACCTGGTTTTCTCTGGAAGACTTACCATTAAAGTTCTCTGTCTCATTCTGCCATTTGCTATGTAAACAACCAGTCAGAGTTTTTATCAACCATTATCAATAAAGGGGCATCTAATTAATAATAATTGTGTGCTATTTCACATATGTACTATATCTAACTAACCAGAAATTAGGCTAGCCTTACAGTTACAAACCACATGATAATTCTAGTTCTGATTTGGTTTTATTTTAAATGAGAGAAGAAAGTATTCTCTGCTTACAAATCCCAAGTTGTAATTTTACTCAGCTTAGAAGGGCAGAGAGAATGCTCCAGTCCCTCTGTAACAAAAGGCAAAGCACAATAACAGAACAAAATAGGTCTGCATTGAATACATAAACCCAAACAGTAACCAAAACACAAAAAGCTAAGGTTTCCAACAGGAAGCCTTCCATACTATTCCTCAGGAATAACATGACACAGGTAGGCAGTAACAGAAGCCACAGCTACCTTTCCCTCACTTCTAAGCCTGAAAGTTCATTTGCCAAGACATACCCCTGAGGTAATAGCCAATCAAGCATTCCCAAGACAGGTGTTGGACACCATTTATTCTGCCTAACTCCTTTCTTGGGAAAAAGAAGACAGAACCTATGTAACCTTCTGTCTATTGATTTTTTTAAAAAATGCATTTCAGTAGTATAAACAGTTTACAAACAAAAAAATCCATTTCATCAGACATTTCTAAGTCCTAGTAGAATTTCAAGTCCACTTGACCTTTTCCATTTCTAATGTGTCCAACACTAACCTATTTTCCTACCTTTGTTAATAGTATAAAAATAATGTTTTATTAATTGCTAACATTGTACATGAAACCTCATGATGATTATTTAAACACTGCAGAGAGTACAGAGAGCACATTTTATGGAGGGTGTTATGGAATGAATTATGTCCCCCACCTCCCCAATTTAATATATTGAAGGGCTAGCCACCTACTGTGCCAGTTTTAGGAGATGAGGCTTTGAGAGGTAATTAGGTTTAGATAAAGTCATGAGGGTAGAGTCCTACGATGAGATAAGTGCCCTTATAAGAAGGGGCAGACACCAGAATTCCCTCTCTCCACCATGTGGAGACAGCAAGAAGGCAGCCACCTGCAAGCCAGGAAAAGTGTCCTCACCAGAAAATCATCATGCTAGCATCCTGATCTCAGACTCCTGGTATCCAGAACTATGAGAAAATAAATTTCTGCTGCTTAAGCCATGTTTAAACCATGTAGTATTTTGTTATGGCAGCCTGAGCTAACACACCCCACAAGGCCGCCAAATGAATGAATGAATATATGCTTCATCATTTGATATAATTAACCTATGAAATGTCATCTCTAATCAGTTAGTCCTAATGTTACAACAAATATAAATTCCCATTTTCTCCACCCTCCATCTCCAGACTCTGAAGGAGAACTTTACCATTACAGCTAATTAGATGTCTAAAGAATCGCAGCAGTTATACTTGAAAAAATGCAGCAATTCCTACATTCCACTATTTAGAATGACCTCCTGGCAAATGAGTACAAAATAATAAAGAGTGAGAATTAAATCGCTTAGCTAAAAAGTACTTTTATTACATTCAGACACATATAGTAACTCACTCTGTTAACAAAGTGCCCAGGAGATGTCTCAGGCAGCTTGAGTTAATGAATGACAAGTAAGTTACAAAGAGAAAGCAGCAGGCATCAAGGAATGGTGATTGCTACACTGTATCTGGGACCATGATGTGCTAATTAAAATTAGGAAAGAGCTTACCATCACTGAGATCCTGGAGGAGATTCTCCTGGCAGGAGAAATCCAACTTCACTTTGATGTTGACAGTGAAAGTGGCCACCTTCCCAGGCAGTAGAGGAAACTGGGCAAGGGTTTCTTCTAGCTTCCAGCTCAAGAAGTCACCATACAATTTTTCTACAACAACAACAATAATAATGGTGATGATGATGATGTAACCGAGGCAATATGAAACTTATCAATCCCCCAGAAAATTCTGATATATTCTCAAAAGCAAAGAAAAATGAAAAACATTTAAAATTTGTCAAATCAAAATACTAAGAAAATTCCAGAATCAAGAGGTGTTGTAAGGCGATCACCCCTGTTTACAAACGAGGCATAAAAAGGAAGAAGAGCGGACGAGGGTGCGAGGCACCGAGTTCCAAGCCAAGTCATCTTCACGCCTAGTAAGCAGCTCCTGCTCACTGACAAAAGAAACGCTTCTTTTGCTCTTCTAGACTAAATCTGAGTTAAACTAAATTTCTCCACAATGAGTATGTACTGTATTATATCACCTTAGAGATAAATATCCAAGTTTAGTAGGGAAAGTGCATTCAATATGAGACACCCTTTTCAGAAAAAGAGAATGCAAAATCTAAAGAACCAAGTGCAGAAGCTTGGGAAAGGCCTGTGTGGGCGCCTCCCTAGCTTTCTTGTAAATGCATCTCTGTCTCTAAAAGATCTTGAGTGTTGAGTTACATGGCCTTGGCTTTGGCGCCTTTTTGACACTGACTAACCGGAGTGCCATGGAGAATAATGACTCCTTTCGGCCAAGGCTTCTTCGTGTATAAAATGGGGATAACAACTACTGCATCACAGGGTTGGTTTACAGATTAGAGAAAGTAATGTCTGCAAAGCACTGAGAAGATCATGGCACTGTAGGAACTAAAGGCAAAACATACTGAGGGGAGGAAGGAGGACAGGAAGGGAACACAGGGGAACCACCACTTGTGCTGCCTAGAGCAGCTGTGTCCCTCCATGGCTCCAGCTCGTGACAGACAATCAAGACCTAAACTTGAGGTCCAATGTGATATGCTGCCTTGACATCTGGTGAAATCAGGAAGGCCCTGAATGGCCTTACCACAAGTCCCCTCCTCACTATGCTCCCACAGATAAGATCCCCCAGCCAAACAGTCCTCCTGAGCACAGGAACCAGGCATAGTCCCACATTTCCTGAGCAGAGAGTTTTACCTCTCTGTCAGACTGAAAATGACTGAAACAGGGCAATCACATCCTCCCAGGGGAGCCAGGGGGCACTCTCCCTCTCTTTATACCACAAAGCCTGTTTCCCACAGCCTCTGGGTGGCTGTTCACTCTACTTCTGAGTGCAGCCCCATGTGGGCCCTGTACGGCATCATGTCCTTCTCCCCAGTCTGTGAGTCTATCTGACTAATAAGCATCTGCCAGGCTGGGCTCAGTGGCTCAGCCTGTAATCCCAGCACTTTGGGAGGCCAAGGTGAGTGGACTGCCTGAGCCCGCAGGTTCAAAACCAGCCCAGGCAACTTGGCGAGACTTCATCTCTACAATAGATAAAAAATTAGCCGGGCTTGGTGACTCAGCCTGTAATCCCGCGCCTTTGGGAGGCTGAGGTGAGTGG